GGGTTGAGGCATTGGGCCTGTGGGAAAGGGAGATGCCAGGCTTAATGTTCTCAGACTCTCTGGGCAGGGCCCAAATCCATGTGTTCCTCCAGTGGTGAATGTCAGAGGGGACGGGACAGCTGTCAGCTCCCAGTGGCCCACAACTGCATGGGGTCCCGGTGGGATCTGTACCTGGGGGAGCATTCCTCCACTGGCTCTGTCCCTGGGGTTCTTCTCTTCTTCCTTCCAACCTTCCTGAGTCTGGCTTGTACTTTGAACTTCTGGCCAGCTCGAGGCACCCTCTATGCATTAGCCACAAAAATACAAATCTGTTTAACTTTGATGATTCTCCATACAAGTTCAATGCTCTAATATGTGCATTTAAAACAAGTTTTGTACAATATAAAGATAAATGGTAAAGTTTACGCTAATAATTTAAAATTTTAATTGTTGCTTTGGCTGGTTTGGCTCAGTGGTTAGAATGTCAGCCCACGGACTAAAGAGCCTTGGGTTTGATTTCTGGTCAAGGGCACATATCTCAGTTGCAGGTTTGATCCCTAGCCTTGGTCAGGGTCATGCAGGAGACAACCAATGGATGTGTCTTTCTCACATTGATGTTTCTCTCTCTCTCCCTCTCTTCTGATGTTTCTCTCTCTCTCCCTCCCACTCTATCTAAAAAAAAAAAAAAAAAATCAGTGGAAAAATATCCTTGAGTGAGGATTAAAAATAATAATAATAAAATTCTAATTGTTCTATACTTACAGACAATAAGAAGATAACTAAAATCTTGACAAGTTGAGAGAGAGACTAAAGGAGAAAGGAAAAGGATTTATATGTACCTTTAATGGCCCTTTTTCTTGCTCTTTGAATAAGAAAGCCACATTTCCATTTTGGCCCAGAAGTTTTGTACCAGGAGACATTCTGGGTGTGGGTCTGCTGGGGCTGGCCAATGTGACAAGAATGGTCAGGTGGTCAGTGAGGAGTGGGGTTTGGGAAATGATGCTGTTGACAATAAGCCATGGGAGTCACTGCTGGGGCAACCAGAGTGAAGCCCCAGAAGACTGACTTCCAGGGTAGGCATGAAGTGCCAAACATAGCACCCAAGGTAAAACTGGGAAGCAAAATGTCTCAGAACATGACTACACACAAACATGTGAACTATCAAAAAACAATCTGAAACAAAACAAAAGGCAAACCACAAAACTAGGAAGACTATTTCCCACCTAGGTGACAGACCAAAAGTTAACCTATTTTAATATAAAGGTTTTTTGAAGTAACAAGAAAAAATTGAAATTCCAGTAAAATAAAGGACATGAGTTAGCCAATCATAAAACTGTAAGATAATCACTGTTTTAAGATATGCATATGTTTAAAATACAACCACATTACTCTCAAATAAATACAACTTACAACAAAATGTCTATCCTGGTTATGGCTCTCAATGTACTACAGCTAGGAAGAACTCAGTGCTATGAGCAAGTGGAAGCTAGACATTGTATCAAAGGAGCATGAATAGGTAAAATAACAGAAAATATTCTGGCATTGAAAGCTTTAAAATACACATACTGTTGACCAGGGATTGAATTTTTAGAAATTCAGCTAAAGAAAAAAGTAAATAATGAGCAGTAGATTCAATTGTAAGGATTTTCATTGCAGTCAGTGGCCCACCTAACCTCTAATGGGGAAATAAATATGTCATAATCAGTTATATAAAAGTTTGCTGCTGTCATGTGGTGCAATGACATGCCATCATTAAAGCGAGGCTGTGGGCAATAACGTAGGAGAAAACATCCACATCCTTGTATAAATACATTCTAACTTTCCATTGTAAATAACATATTGTCTGTGTTAAGTACAGTGCATTTTAATAAACAAAGAATGTTACTTTTCTAGATTTAAGGAGGCAAAGAAGGAAAGTGGACCTGGCAGGAGGTGCAGGAGGTTTGGTGGGGTGGGTGACTCTGAACAATGTAAGACCCTTTTTGTGCCCAGGTGAAGTGCTCAGCAAACATTTCCAACCCTTCTAACCCTCCAGAAAGTCTAAGACGGAGAAAGGAATGCATTAATTCCCATTTTCCTATGAAAAAGGAAATAAAATGCCTTGCCCATTAATGCAGGAAAGAAGCAGCACCTCTAGCTATTTCTCACTGCTATTAGGGTCGTAATCAAGTGTCTCTTTGCTTGCCTCCAACTTCCCTTCCTACCTGGGCCCCTTGCCTCCACAATGACCCTTTTGTACTTCTGCAGATATACCAACCTCTTTCTGCTCAGGGCCTGGACACTGCCCTCTCCCTCAGCCTTCTCCTCCCACAGTGGTCCATGATCATTCAAGTCTCAGCTCCAGTGTCACTTCCCAGCACACCTTTCCTGGCCACCTCTATAAAGTCACCCACCTTCCCCAGCCTTCCTCCCTTCTCCATTTCATGAGTTATTTTATTTCCTTCATTACATGTCATTATCTGAAATTATCTCACTTGTTTTCACTTGAGTATTACCTGTGCTCCCCAACAGAATGCCAGCCTATAGCCACAGGCACCGTGTCCTGTCTTGCTCACAGCTGTAACCCTCTCCTGACATGCATGAACAGAAGCTGGGCATATTAGTCAGAATAGGATGGGCTATGCTACAGTAAGTAACAAAGAATCCACCATGTCTCAGTAGCTTAACACAACCAAGGACACTCTGTGTTTCCTTGCGTACATCACAACCTAATTCAGGTTAGGTGGCCCTGCCCCATTTTGTAGCTGTATTTACATGTGTCTTTCAAGATCATTGTAGCAGAGAAAGGAAGAGAGCGACAGGATATGCCAGTTCTTAGCTGTCCCAGCCAGAAGGTGAGACACATGTCATTTCCTACCACACAGCCCCAAATTAAGTGCACAGGAGGCTGGGAAATGGAAGGGAGGAGAGGAGCACATGAATGTTTGATGAATCTGAAATGTCTGTGTCATAACAGGATCCGCGTTGCAGCCTGGGCTCCGCCACAGAGAGATCCCAAAGGGAGCCTTAGAGGAAGAACTACCTAGAGCAACATAAGAAACCAAATCAGCTGAGAGCTGTCAGGGTCCAGCCATATTTGTGTCCAGCCCACCTGAGCCTCTCTTCCTCCTTGTACCCTGCATTCCCAGGGTACCATAGGGACCCACACTAGAGTCTCCTAATCCCAGGGCTGACTTTCATGGCCTTTTTCAGGGTATAGACTATGTCCACCTAGGCCTGGTCCCAGAGTCTTGACCGCTGGGAGCACTCTGCCCTGGCCTTGGCTGTTCTCTCAGCTGACCAAATGCCTCACTTGGAATGCAGTCTGGGCTGGCTGCTGCCACATCTGTCCTTCATGTTGTTAGCTTTGAATTCAACACTGGGAAGGCCAGTAACCAGCTGTGTACTTACAAGGAGAGAGAGGTGTGCTCTGGCCTGGGCCACATCTGGATTAGGGCCACTCAAGACTATGGTTGCAACTCCAGGTGAGCCAGCACCTTCAGGGTCTCAAGACCCCCATGCCAGGCTGCCCACACTGCTGTTTAGCACAATGTGCCAGGTGAAATTCAGGGGAAGGGTATAGCAGGCAGTCCTGCTGTGCACAACTCTTCCAGGATTGCATTGTCCAATATGGCAGCCACTAGCCATACTGATGATTTAAATGCAAATGCAAATTAATTACAAACATTAAATTTCCCATTAGAATGACTGTTGTGAAAGATAACAAGTGTTGGTGGGAATGTGGAGTCATGGAAAACCTTGTGTCCTACTGGTAGGATTGTAAAATGGTGCAGGTGCTATGGAAAACAGTATATAGCATCCTCAAAAAAGTTAAAAATAGAATTACTTTATGATCTAGCAACTACACTTCTGAGTATAGACATAAAACAACTGAAAGCAGGGACTGGAATAGACAGACATTGTACACCTAGGTTCATAGCAGCCTATTCACAACAGCCAAACGGTGGAAGTAATCCAAGTGCCCATCAGTAGATGAAGGGATACACAAAATGTGGTCTGTCTATGTAATGGAATCTTAATCGGCCTTTAAAAGCACAAAAATCCTTACACCTACTACAACATGGATGAACCTTGAAGACATTGTGCTAAGTGAAATAAGTTAGTCACAAAAAAGAGAAATACTGCATGATTTCCCTCATATGGGGCTCCTAGAGTAGGAACTATAGAGACAGGATGTAGAATGGTGGTTCCCAGGGACTCAGGAGAGGAGAGAATAAGGAGTTAGTGTTTAATGGGGACAGAGATTGTTTTGCAAGATGAAAAGAGTTCTGGAGATGGGTGGTGGTAATGGTTGAATAACAATATAAATAAATGTACTTAATACCACTAAACTGTACACTTAAAAACAATGAAGACAGTAAATTTTGTTGTGTGTATTTTACCAAAATTTAAAAAAAATTTTAATTAAAATTAAAAATTCTATTAAAAAATAGAATTTTTGTCATGCCCTAGAAGGCTTAGGTGGCACACAAGCACCCCATTAAATAGCACAGCTTCACAGGGAAAAGGGGATTCCCTCTTCAAGCTTCAGTTTCTGTGACTACTCCAGGAGAAGCCTGGATGGGTTTCAGTCTGTCTGTCCCCTCTCGAATATACACTGATATCCCTTTTCTTTTTTTAAAAAATTATTTTCTGTTTTACTTTTAGGTTACCCTTATGTAAAGTGAAGTCTCCTTGGTAAATAATTTTAAGTTTTAAAAAGTCAGTTTATTTAGAGGAAAATACACAGTACAGGTAAAGTGTGGTATGGCAAAAATCGAGAAAACTGGTACACAAATGACTAGAGTTTGGAAAAATCTCGTCAGTGTGCAAATAGTCTTGCCAAGTCAAAATATCCCCCATTTACAGATGGGAAAACTGAGGTTCAGTGTCGTTGATGGGAAGGTCACCTTTTCTCACCAGTAGACCCAGAAAAGCTTCCCTGTAGCCATATCACTCACTGCTAGGTTCACTAGGAAACCACAGAAAGCACAGGTGCCTTGGCCCACCTGCACCTCCCCTCCCCACCCGCCCCCACTTACAATGTTCATGAGCGTGAGGAGGTACTTCTGCACATGTTCCTTCCCGTGGAACTGGACCACAGAATCATCCACACCCAGCAGGACCTCGATGTTGTAGTCATCATCGGCAGCATGTCTGCGTGCCCTGTGCCTTGAGCTGTTGACCCGTTCCTCGAGGATGCCCAGGGTACGGCTGAGGCTGTCCAGGCTGTCCTGGGAGTCCCCTGGAAAACAGAGTACTTAGTGTGCAGCAGCAGCCTGGGCTCACCAGGGACACAGCAGCAGTAGGACAAAACCCCACTCAGATACAACTCAGCACCTGCCCAGCACCAGCTGGGCTATCATCTTGTTGAAAACTTACAGCAAACAGAGGGACTTTTGTCCTATTTTACAAAATCACAAACTGAGTTTCAGAGAGGGCCAAATCAGCTCAGACCCCACAGTATACAAACCAATTGCTCGCCATTCCATCACAGAGCCCTGGTCTGGCACCCAGTGACAAATGGAAAGGCTCAGAGGCTGGGCTGCCCAGCCAGGAGTGGATGTGGGCAGAGCCAGATTCTTTCACCTATTTACACACTCAACACTTGAGAAGGGCTGCCCAGATGCTAAAGGGCTGGTCTCCCAAGTGTGGCTACCCCTGTTATAAATGGAGAAACTGAGGTCCAGCCCAGCTGGTGTATGTCCCACAGCATCTCCTCGGGCAGCTCCCTTTCAGAACTTCCTGCTCAGTCCTTCACTAAAGCAAGACCCCTCATCTCTGGGCTAGGTCCACCTATCCCCACTCTATGGTCAAGACCTCCCATCAGTGCCCTTCCCCAGGTGAACTGGTCCCAAGCTGATTAGATGAGTGGTTGTCTGACTGAATTATGCAGGAACCAGGACAAGCCCTTCTCATGACAGCTCCCTCATGGTCTTCCTGATCAGGGTCTCACTTCCAGCCACACAGGTTTGACACCTGGTCCAGGGTGGGGGAATAAGGCCTAAGGGGCCTCAGCTGAGAGGTCCAGAGGCCTGGAGTTTCATCAGGCCAAGGATCCCAGGCTATTTTCTCGCCATCTGAACAGCTAGCTATAGCTGACAAATCGGTTCCCTTCTTCTTTTCCACTGGGCTCAGATCCTGCCCTGGCCTGGTCCCTGACCCTAGGGTTCTGCTTCTCTTTGGCATTCCCTGAGTGTGAGCAGAGGGGAATTTCAGAGACTCTTGCTTTGGAGGGACCTTGGACCTCAGGTTATCAAGACATCACCATTCCAGGGGGTGGTGTCCAGGTCTTGGGGCCCCTGCCACAGGTGGGGCTGAAAGCCCAGCTCAGCTGTCAATACTCCTGAAGACCACCTCTCTTAAGAATTTCCAGAAAATTATTCTCAGTTGGCTCCAAAGCCTCTTGTCTGCTGCCTCCTCCATACAGGGAGAGAAACAGGAACTCCCTGCACATCATAGTGCTACATGACAGGGCTTCTGAAAGCAGCATGGCCACGCATGGACAAGTCAGGCAGCCTGCCACTGGGTCCTGCTCCACTACTTGGCCCTACACAGACATCCCCTCATGTAGTACTGACAACGGGCCTTTTTGGTGTGCAATATTGTGCCCATTTTATAGACAGGAGGACTGACAGAACCCTCAGTGTGGCTGACTCTCAGGCAGGACCTGCTATCTGTTTGTTCCTGCTATCTGAAGAACAAACCTGCAACCAGGCCACAGAGCTCTAGAAAAAGTGGGGTGCAGGAGGTGCAAAAGAAGCAGGGTGGGGAGCAACACAGAGAAGAGGAATTAGTAGGGTTAGAGCTGAGCAGCTGCTTGCGTTCCTGTATCTCTTGGGGTTTTCTTGCCTAACCCCCAGTAGCCTGCTATACACGGGGTATATGCACATGCACATGCACATGCACCCGGCTGATGCTGTTCAGGGTAGGTCCAGGGAGGCAGGCATGCAGCATCCCTGTGCAGAGCCAATGCCTCACTGGGCTTCCTGGAGATGACTCAGGAATATCCTTGTTGCTACCAGAGGACAGACCAGCTACTTAAATCTGACAGGGGTTTGAGGAATTGCTACTCTATTTTTATACATTTATTTCTTTGCATTTCTAACAAGCAGGGACAGCTCACCTTCAGAACCACCGTGGAGGCACATTTTCATAAAACTCTTGCCTGGGAAGAGGCTGCCCCTTTTGAGCCAAGGGTCACTAACAGGTGGTCTCTGGGCAAAACCAGCCCAGAAAGGCACTTGTTAGGGCCACACAGTGTTTTTAAAATACCTCACTTTGCCCTGGCTGGTTTGGCTCAGTGATTAGATTGTTGGCCTGTGGACCAAGGGGTTGTGGGTTCGATTTCCAGTCAGGGGCACGTGCCTTGGTTGCGAGTTGTATCCCTAGTCCCAGTTGGGGTCATGTAGGAGTCAGCCAATCAATGTGTCTTTCACATTGATGTTTCTCTCCCTCTCTCCCTCTCCATCCCTCCCTTTCACTCTTTCTGAAAAATCAATGGAAAAGTATCCTCAGGTGAGGATTAACAACAACAACAAAAATACCTCACTTGGTTGACAGTGTTTCAAAATTGGGAAATTTCTTGTTAAACAAAATCTAGAATAGCCAGTTTCTCTGAGGAATTAGGAGCTGGGGTCGTGGCACAGGTGGGTGGTTGTTGGGTTAACACTGGGGTGTGGAGTGACAGTCATACCTGGAGACAGGCACACAGGACCATGTCCCCAGGCTACCTCCTGGCCCCTTAACTCAAGGAGTCACGCACAAATCAGTGATCCCTCATGACATTCCCTGTGGAAGGGCAAGGGGGCTGCCATTGGTCCAGAGCTGGCTGGGCCATAACTTATAGCTGCTTCTAACAAACAAGCATGGTTTTCAATTAAATTGTATGTTACAGGTCCTTCAAGAACAATATTTTCTAAAGATGCATTAGAAATGTAAGTTTTATCTCAAGCATAATTGTTGTTATAATTATTTTAGTCACAATTATTTTGGGGGTAACTTGAACTTTATGTTATAGAACACCCCAATCCCTGAAGGCCTAGCCCCTGTAGAGATGCCCCAAAGCGGAGGTCAAAGTGCAGATGAGGAGAGGAAGACAAGGCCCCTCAAGACTCCTGGCAAGTGACAACCCCACCCTGCCATCCAGCCCTTGGAAGCCTCAGGCCTGGAAGGATATAGGGAGCAGCCACAAGGTGATCAAAGTCTGCCAAGCCTGTAGCCACATGAGCATTGATGGGACTCAGCAGCCAGGCTGATTTCCCATATTATCAGTCTTGGATGTCTCCTCAGTTTCCCTACTATGGGCTTGATCCTGAAGCCTAAGCTATGCAGAGACCCTAGCCACACCCTGGTCCCAGCAGGCCTGTCCCTCAAGCCGAGTCTTGCTTCCAAGAACTCAAGCTAGTGGCAGGCTCCTGCCCAGTCCTGGGTGGGCTACCACGTGATCCTCTGACACAAACTCAGGCCTTTGCAGCCGTCCATCTATACTGGGTAGCCTACCTGATCTAAAGGCATCTGCTCCTCCTGGCACTAGGAGTTCAAGGAGGGTTCTCATCTACTCTCCCCTCCTCCCCAGGAGCTCCTATAGCTCACAGCCAGCCTGCTAAGCAGATGACACAAGTTCACCGAGCTCTTTGGCTCCAGCCCTCATTACCGGCCCAGGCCCAGATAATGAGGTATCAATGCTGCCCTTCTCCTGCCACCTCTGTACAGAACATCTCCCATGAGGAGAAGTCACTGGTCAACAGGTGGCTGGTCCATGGTAGATGGGGGAGACTGGACCAGGCAGGTGAGGCTCCCCTGAGCAGAGGCTCCCCTACCTTTTCAATGGGTAACCACAGGGATATAAGTTCCTGGCGTTCCCTGGTTTGGGAGACCCTTCTGGAATGCAGCTGGGGTTCTTTTTGCTCCTGTCTCAGGAAGCAGGAAACTTATAAAACCTGTCCCCAGTTTTAGTCTCTAGAAATCAAGCAGGGTCCTCAAAAAGTTGATTGATGCAAGGGAGAGAATGGGATAAGGGAGCAGAGAGTCCAGGGAACCCAAAGCACCTGCCCTACAGGGGAATGAGCAAGTCACAGCAGACAAGTTCATCCACAGCCACTGGAGCAGAGGGCTCTGCCCACACCTGTTCCCCTGCATCTGGGGTAGGGCAGGGCAGGGCATATGCACAGCCCTTCACAGTAACAAAACTCTGCCACCCCCAGTAGCTATCTGGCTCTCACAGTGAAGAGGAGGCTCTTCACCATCCTAATTATAGTCCCATTTTAGCATCAGGGAACCCCAGCAGCAGAAAGATTTAGTGACGGGCACAAGCCACATGGCAGAGGAGAAGCAGGGACCCTACTTCGTCCCTGGGATTCAGCATTATTAACATGGCCAAGTGGGCTCTGTATACCAGCACCAAGAGATGGTTGGGAAAACTTAAATTGGGAGAAACAAGCACATTTAGCCTACAGAAGAGAAAACCTGGGGTTCTGAGTAGGCAGGGATCAGGGCAACTGGTGTTTTCTGACCTTGTGCAAATTGTATGCCCAGACCTTTACAGCACTGGCCTATACCTACGGTGCCCTTTCTGCTGCTGCTGCCCAAATTTAACATCCCTAACAGGCCCAACAGGACCCTCCAAAAGGCCCAGAGGGAAGGGGTCTTGCAGTCCTTGATGTGGAACCCCACTGCTTCCTGCACTGGATTCAGGGACAAGTCTGGTGGTCCTTGTTTGCTTCCTTGACAGAGTCAGCTGCACACCTGTAGGGAGGGGTGCATATAGTCTTGAGAAGCTACTGCACAGTAGCTACGGGAGACTTTTCCCTGGTCCGTGGACCCACCTTTCCCTCATTTCTCATGGAACCTGTTCCCTCTCATCCTTCAGGTGTTAGCTGAAACGGTACCTCCTCAGGAAACATGCCTATTTCATCTTAAATTAAAACAGGCTCACCTCTGCCACAGGGTTTCCCTAACAGCACCCTGTTTTCTTCCTTCATGAAATACAACACCATTTGCAGTTCTAATCTCACCTGTGAATGTATTTCAGCATTAACTGTCTTTCCCCCCGTTTGGATGGAGGCCACCGGGGAGACAGGGGCATGGGGTCTTGTGTACCTCAGTTTCCCCAGTACCCCACAGGTATTCATTGCAGGGCTGTGAGGAGCCAGGCAGAGAGGCAATGGGAGAAAACAAGGGTCCAGTAAGGGGAGTCAGGTGGTCCTCTTGGGAGCTAAGAGCTGGGCTGGAAGGAGAGGCAGA